TTAGAAGTTTTTAAGTCTGTAAAAAAGAAATTTTTGAGGAAGAAGAAGTAGTTTTTTTTTTGTTTTTTTTAGACTTTAGAAACTCAGAAGCTGATCAAATATCGGGTTAAATATCGGTGGGGTGGCCGATGTCCGATATTCAGTTTTAAGGCCGATACAGGCCGATACCGATAGGGGGCCGATTATATTGTGCATCCCTAAAAAAAAAACATTTAAATCTTTGAAGTATAGAGCAGGAGCAACATTTGTTTTTTTCAGGCTCTCAAAGTTGTCCATAGATACTTCATGACTGCTTTACCTCATATTCCATTTTTTGATTATGTTCTCCAAGAGCTCTCTGAAGACTTCTGGGAGCGGCAGATTTTAATACTTAAGTTAATTAAAAGCCATTATTTCCACTTCATCCTTATATGTCTGCCCAACAACATGTACTTGTGCTGCCCTCATACTGGCTGTGCTAGTTTCTCCTTATAAGCTCAGGGAATATTTCTTAGAACTGACTCGGCTGCACCATTATGAACTCCACTTAAATGTACTATTTTTTGACAAGTTACAAATGTCAACATTTAAAAAGGTCCTTCAAAGGTGAACTTTTTAATCTTCCAAAAGGAAAGGCAGGCCGGCTTCTTACCCCAAAAATATAAACATTTAGCCTTTGCTGTTGGTGTGCTGCCAGCAAATAAAAAACATGTTTTCTCCAAATTGTCACAAAAATAACCCATTCTGAGACGATGAAAAAAGCAAAATGACACGAGGCCCAGACACTAAAGATCTAAAGTCAGCTTTAAAACTATATGACCATGAATTCCATGCAGTAAATCAGAAGTTTCAATACTCGGTGGGGTGATGGGATTCCCCAGGGGGTTGCAGGACAAAAAGTTTTGGGTCGTAAGATATTTATTTCAAATCATTGTGAGGTGATCCCTGAGGTCTGTACAGGGCAAAATTTAGCTTTAAAAACATAAATGTGCATGTCTAATAAAAGAAACAGATATACCATAAAAAATATAGAGATGTTAGTTTTATTCATTTATTTGTTTAATGCATAATTCAAATATCAATGGGGTAAAGTTAAAACCTCCAACATAAAGCAAAGCAATAGTATGAGAAACAATATAATGATACTAGTGAATCTATTTACCCTATAAAATATAAACTTGCTAATTAGGAACAAGATGTTCTGATCAGAGCAGACAAACATTTAAATTGTACATATCTGCTTAAATAGCAAACTGGTGGTGGCAGCATCATGCTGTGGGAAGGATGTTTGTTAGCATGCTGGTCAGAGTTGAAGGGAAAATGTAAATGATGAACAAATATTTGAAAGAATAGCTGAATAAGTAAAAAAAAAACAAGAACAAATCTGGTCATATCACTAAATCGAATTTTAAGTTATTTTTTATTGCAAAAGAACCTTGTTTAGTGTCCCATGAAAGGCTGGTTTAAACACTAGAACATAGTAAAACAACAAAAAGAAAAAGTGTCAACAGACCTGCTCTGTCTCTCCATGCTTGCCACTCTCAGGTGCTCCCACCGAGAGTTCAGGAGGTTCATCTGCTCCCTGACCTCAGAGTCCTCCTCCTCACTGAGGTTGCCCTCTGACAGCAACGCAGCACCGGCACGCAGGACGCGGCCCACGCTGCCCTGATGTGTGGTCAGCTCCGCCATGTACCCCTGGTGAGTAGAGAGTCGGAGACTTCCTATAAACATTTCCCAAATAATAGCTTGTGCTTAATCAAGCTATTCCAGAAGACGAGGAGGGATGACAATCATCGCCCTTTAGTGTGCATTAAACACGCTCTTTCAACTTCTTGTCACAAAGCACAGCCGACTTCATGGAACTATTAAAATAGTTTGCCATTATGCAGCTTCTACTCATTAAAGCTGGGCATACACTGTGTGATATCAAGCATTGAACGCAGCTACAGCTAAAACTGTATGACGAAACCGCAGGGTTTAAAAGTTCACAGCTCACCCAATGCTCTGATGTGACCTTATGAAGGCCGACTGAATTTCAAACATGTTTGATTTTCTCTCGACCTTACAATTCCTGATTGGGAGGTGGCTGTGAGAGGCTGATCGCCCCTCGTTACTCCCTGTATACTACACCAGCGGTCCCCAACCTTTGGTCACACAATAAAACAACATCAAACAACAAGCCGGTCCCATCTAGGCGTGATCGGAGACAATGACAGACGAAGTGTGCTCCTGATGTCCAGTCTGCTCCGTAGTTTTATTTTGGTCGCTGAAAATCCCGCTTCACAAAGATAGGATGACTTAGATAGGATGAGTCTTGAACTGAATTAACCTGTGTCAAGAGGCACAGATGCACCAAATGACGTAATTGGGAGAGAATACCGCAATTTTTTATATTTTTCAAAATAAAACATCACTCAGACTCTGATCGTCGATAAATTATATATCTATATATATATACTTTTTTCTGTGCGGCCCGGTACCAAATGACCCCCGGACCGGTACCGGTCCGCGGCCCGGTGGTTGGGGACCCCGTACTACACGACGCACGACAAAGGATGAGGCTAAAACAGGCTTGTTGGAAAAAATCTCGCACGACTGGAGAATCAGCCCGAAAATGGCAAAAAGAATCATACAGTGAATGCCCGGCTTTAGAGAGTCGACAGCCAGACCATCAAAGAAAACAGCTTTTGGTTGTACTGAAGCATTGCGTTTCTTTGTACAGGAAATTTGTCACTTAAGCTTTTGATTTTCTTGTTGCATATCAGTATTTCTACTTATTTTACTGCATTTTTAGCCTAAAATGCAGTAAAACGTTTTTACTGCATTTTAGGCTAAATATGCCTAAAATGTGTGGTTTTTATTTAGAAAGAACACTTTAGACTGCTAAGAAGTGACAACAAAAAGACTTTAGGGTGAATGACACATTTGCAGCTACATCGTTGTATTCTACATAAATGTTGCCAGTAAAACAGACCGTGCAATTAAGAGAATTAATTCACCTGCTTCCATCCATTACAGATATGTCAGCTACTAGCCTTTTTGAAAACTGTTTATCTTACGATGATGCATGTTTCTTGGTTTTTAAAAGAGGAAACAACACACCAGCAAAGTGCCAGCATATCGCAACATTTCCATGACAATGTTTTTGTCATAAGTCCACATTACAGCTATCAGTTATTCTTGCAAAGGATATTAAAGTAAGTTTCCCCTCTGCCTACCTCATGCGTGTGGAACTGCTCCTTCACCTCCTCCACATGGCTGGAGATGACAGGCTGAGCATGGAGGCTGTCCTCTGCCGACAGCAGCCACGTCAACACCTTTGGAGAGCAAAGTCATTTCGGGTAACATACTCAAAGCATAACAGAAGGCTTTGGTGTTTATTTTACACACAAAATTCAAACGTATTGATATTAAAATTAAGTTATGGATGATGTAATAAACTGTGCATTTTGTCACATTAGAATCAAACTCCTGATTGTTTTAGCAGGATTTAATTAAAAAGAAAAACACAAATGAACCTTGGGCTAAAACCGTTTCAATTAAATTAAAATTAAATTAAAAAGAGAAGCTGAGGCACTTATATATTTTGATAAATGCTGCTGAAGTTGGTTTGTATAAACAATCATATGGGATTTGGATCATATTAATGCCTTACCTCCTCCAGAGAAGCCTGGTAGCTCTCCAGGCTGGTGGATCCAGGAGGCAGAGGACTGAGGCCTCGCTGCAGCTCCTCCTGGCTGGGGGTCAGAAACTAAACGAGGTGCAATGTAAATAAAACAGAAAAAGGAAGGGAAAGAAGAGAGGATGGAGCAAGAAAACCAACATTACGGGAATGTGAAGGTAAGACATTAAAAGAACAAAATTCAAAGAGCGTGAACAGAAATGTGAGAGAAAGATCTGTTATGTGTTGGTCATTAACAACACAACAGCTGTTCCTCTTTCTTAGAGTCCCATCTCTCTATCTCAGAGTGTGTTGCAGGACTGAATAGCAGCCTTTTCTCCACAGTCTACAACACTGAGCAATCTGTGGCTGTCACTGCAGGTAGAGGTGAGACTCAAAAATCAGAACATCAGCAAAACGTAGATTTATTTCACTACATCATTGCTTATTAGCTCCAAGTCAAATACAAGCTGGAAGGGATTCATGTTCTCATTTATTTTTCTGAACTGGATTCCATTTTTGATGATGTTCTAATTTATTCAGCTGCACTTATCTATATCCATGTCATCTTCATGAAATGGGAAGGGAGTAGCAGACATTCATCATACACACACAATAAATGTCTCAAATGTCAGAATGATTTAATTGCTACGTTTACACTGCAGCCTAAAGTCACCTAAATCCGATGTTTTTGGCCCATATGCGACCTGGATCTGATCTTTTCATGGCAGTCTGAACAACACAGATCCGATTTTTTCCAATCCGACCAAGGCCACTTGGCTATGTGGTCCCGAATCCGATACGAATCTGATCTTTTCAAATGTGACCGGGGTCTGAACGGCCATGTCGCATTCATCCGACCTGAACGCCATTAATACCCGACAAAGGTCACTATTCTGGGTCTTGCTATGGCGGACAATGACGCGGAGAGCAGTATTTATGTTTAACAATTTTGAAAAGGTTGTGTTTTTATGGTTGGGAAAGATCGCTAGATGTGCTCTGGCACGACCATCCATGTTTACTTCCGTAAACACAGAGCATGCTGGCGTGTGATGTCATCGCGTTCTCTACTGCAAATGTGAGGCTATTGCGTCATATGACTGCAGTTCACACAGGAGATCGCATACAAGTTGCATATATTTGGAAATGTGAACGACAAAGCTAAAAAATCGGATTTCACAAAAACATCAGAATTGACTATCAAGGCCTGCAGTATGAAAGTAGCCAAAGTGACTATGCCTCCAATGTGCCCCTCTACTGAAATGTCTGTTTTGTGTTACATGTACATGTGCTTTTCTTGTGCAGAGGTTTTTTGATATCTCAAACTGTATTCTGTCAAGGATAAAGTGTTAAATAGGCTTTTTTTTCCCTCTCTTCCCCAATTTGGCTCCGATCTTTCCACAGAGATAAATAATAGGTAACCGCCTGGGTAACCGGTGGGAACCTGGCAAGCCATAAGAACGCGCCGTTCTTTCTAATGGCAGCATTCTGCGGCACGCATGGCCTCAGTAAATCCGTCCCCCTCTCAATGTATGTGACGAATTGTGATGAACGGTTGTACTGAAACTAAAATTTCGATTGCAATGTAAATTGTAGTTCACAATAAAGAAGTTTGATTGACTGAAAATTACAGGGATGAACTACTTTTGAAAAGCTCTAAGAAAAAAAGAAAAGAAAGACAGCAAAACTTCACAAGAAACAACACAAAAAGGGTTGTTTCATTTTAGACCAATTTGTCAAGGCTTCAAAAAAAAAAATCCATGTAAAAGCTGAAATAAATGTACACGAAAAAAGTCGATATAATCTGCTGTATTTTAATGTAGGTAGTAATGGCTGCTGCAGAAGATTCATTTTCTTAAAATGAAAGAGCGGAAAACCCTTTTAGCTATTTAGGCAGATAGGAAAGCAGATGGTTGCTTGGTAGCAGATGCTAAATGTAGCGTTAGCATCGCTAACTGTTAGCTAGTCTTGGTATTCCCACAGATTGCGGGTATGAAATCATTCGAATCTAATCTGTTATGTTTAATTTATTCATATCAAGTGTCTAAAAAGCTGGCTGATAAGAAAATAAAAAAATGATGGAGGCTTTTTTCTAAAGTTTGTAACTTCAGTTCAGCCTAATTTATAGGTCTTAACCAGCAGTTTGGAAAAATCTCAAGAACTACTTTTTTTCTCTTTAAACCAGAATCCCAGCTGGGTCCTGACCTTAAAAAGCTTTGACTTATAGTTTGCTAGTGTTGAAAAGACCTTTGTGAGGAAGACTGCACTTCTTTGCCAGAACTATTTCTGCCTTTTTGACTTTGTGAAGTTTTATAAAAGCATTGGGAAAATGTTTGCAAAAATGCTGTGTAAAACTTTTTTAAAGCCTCTTTATGATGTCCAAGAGCAACAGTCATTTCTTTTAAAGATTGTTTTTCAGTAACCTGTTGATACTTGTGGTATTTACGTTAAATCTCAGGATCTCTGGAGGTTCATCATTGCTCGCCACCTTTCTCTGCACGGATCTGTCTGCGTAGGTGTTTAGTGTTGAAATTCTGTCTGCTTGCCGTTACAAAGGGGGGTGTGGAAGCCAGAAGTGAGGCGCGGAAATTGCGCACGCGTTAAGCATAAATCCGGCAATAAAACTACAGGCCTGCTTTGGCTGTAGAGACTGTAGAGTTTCTGAAGCTTTAGTCACTTATGTGAAATAATTTCAAATAATAATGAAATTAAACTTTTGCTTTAAACAATATATTTAGGACTTTTTATGCTCAATCTTTCATATATATGGAGGTCTATTTAAGTCAAAATAGATTGATAATTCTACATTAGGTTGTTTTTTAAAAGATTTTTTCCCCTCTTTTCGTATTAAAAAATATTGATATAAAACCAATGGTATAAAATGTTTAGCTTCCAAAAATTATGACAAATATCTCACCTTCAAAGAGGATTGATTGTTATTTTTCTCGTTAGTTTGATTCCTAAGGCCTGAAGAATGAACAGAACAGAACAGAATTCGCATCATGTCCATTTGGCCCCATAAGTTTCCAAGCCAAATTATCTGGTGGCATTAGTTCACTCTGCAGTTATTTTCCTTAGCAGGTTGTGGGACCATCCGACGCCGCCATATCTAACAGTTAAAGGTAGACCGTTGCGTTGGCGGACCGATTTTTTTCTTTTAGTAGCTTCAGGTGATACATGCAAGCATTTGTCAATTCATTGGTGCATTCAATAGAAATGCCAAGATCACATGTAGTTCATGCATAACACTTCCTGCATTTCTTGGCCATTGTTTATGTTTAGTTGGATTTGTGTATTGCTTATGCATGATGCTGTTGCCTAACTGACAGACTGCTGCACCCTAAATGCACCAGGGAGCGTTATCACAGATCCTTCCTCCCAGCCGCTACTTTATAACCATCACTGTTCCCAATAAACTCAATAAGTTGACATTGATGCTGAATTTTGCACAGTTTTTGTGTTAGTCAGTCCAATAGCACGCTGCTGTTATTTCATTTTTGCACATCTCTGATGTTGCTGCTACTTTTCTCACATTCATTAATGTAAAAATGTCCACAACTGTTATTGTGGATGCAATTCAGAATTTTTTATCCTCCAGATACAGAGTATTATATTATAAAACACTGTACAGGACAATACTTAGTATTATTGTCCTATCTGTTATTTTTGTACACTTTTCTAAGGTGCACATTGTGAGACCACTTCTACTATAACCTTTGATGCTGTAAACACCCCGCTTTCCCCATTTTGGGACAATAAAAGGATTTTCTGCTCTATTCTATTCTAAAAGCAAATTTATTTTTTTATTAAAATGACACTTGTGTAAAATTTAGTCAATTTAGTCATATAAAATGAAGAAGAAAAAGCAATATGAAGTCAAAATGCTGCAAAAAATGCTTGTGTAATAAATACTCATACTATCCTTGTGCATTTTAAATGCTCTATGTGTGCAGATTTAATACCATGAGGCCCTCAATATTTCGCAATGCTGGGTCCATGCTCCTTCTCTAAGCTTGCTTGCTTTTTATTCACCTGATCCAAAGTTGAAACCGACACTGATGCAGCTGATATTGTTGGACCTGACAGAGCAGAGATGTGGAGGCCCTGAAGTTTGGATTTTTAAAAACATGATTGAAAAAAAAAAAAATCCTCCATTGAATATTAATAATTAATATTCTTAATTATTACCTTTAATAAACTTTTTAACCCTTTAAAGTCTGGCCACTCACACTAAGCCTGGTTCTGCTGAAGGTTTCTTCCTGTTAAAAGGGAGTTTTTCCTCTCCACTGTCGCTACAAGCATGCTTAGCGTGAAGGATTTGTATTTGAGTCAATGAGTCGATGCAATCAACTGGTTTTCTTTAGATAGAAAACTTTGAATCAATCTGACTGTATGATCTGGTTGAACTGTGCCTTGAGATGACATGTTTTTTGAATTGGCACTATATAAATAAACTGAATTGAATTGAACCATGAAATAATTGGCAGGAAGTTCTAATTTTATAAAATTGGAGTTGTAATTTAACTTTCTAAAAGAAATAGAATAAAAAAACATAGATTATAGTAGACATTAAAAAACATAGATTTTAGGTAGAGTAAGTTAAATCAGATCATTTATTTGCAATAATTTTGATGCATAAGGCATTTTCTTCGTAATCTTTCATTTGTTTTCTGTTCACTATATGTGTTTCATCGTATAAGTGAGGGTTTTCAAGAACAAACATATAACATCTATGATGCAGAGGTCTGAAAAATTGTATCAAATATGATACAATTTGCTTTAAAGGGTATTTGATTTGTTTAGAAGCATCTGCAAACTAATTCTAATCTAGCTGATTTTATTCTATTTTTGTATTTTCATAGACCAAACAGGAAGTTAGAATCAAATGAATTTTTTTTTGTCAATGAATGTAAAAAAATAACTAATCTAAAACAAAGCCACAGGTTTTGCAGCCAAGACATGCACAGACAAATGGTGCGCTTCAAGCGTTAGCACTGTGAGCGACGGACCTGCTCGGTAAAACGTCTCCTCTTTTGCTCTGGCGACTTGACATACGCAGCCTGGGTGTAGGCATAGCTTTTATAGCGAGGCTGTGGGGAGGGGCTCCGCACACGCCCCTGAGCCACACTCAAGGTGATCTGAGAGCCAAAGACAGAAGAAGAAAAGGACAGAAAGAAGAGTTGGCAAAGAAACAGGAGGGATAAAGGACAGGTACAGGCAAAAGAATGTGAAACAGTGCGCAAACAATCAAAAAGCAACCATAGACAAAAGAATGAAAAGCTGACAATAAAACAGGTGAATGGGAAAAAAAAGCAAGATGCAAGAAATGAAATTGTGCAAGAGGAGATGCAAAATCACAACTGAAGAGAAAAATAAATGCAGTAGTTTCCATCCAAATTGTGAAAAAATATATTTCTAAAAGTCAAGTTTGGTTCTGGTCATGATATAGCTCTAAATTAAAAGCCTAAATCTACCAGGTTAAATAAACATTGTATATTTAACTGTGTCTAATATGATTTTAATCTAAAGAAAATGATTGGGTTGCTTTCTTCAATAATGTCTGTATCTTCAGGAGCCCCTATAACTGTTTGGCCGTCACGACTTTCACTACCTTTATCAGTTTTCTTTCCTCTGGGCGGCACACATTGTTTTGGATTAAGTCTCTGGATGGAAACCAGGCTTTAGAAGCAGACAAAGACAGGTACACACAGAGAGACAGTGTTATAGAGTAGCAGACATTCAAAGCAAGTCCAGCCCTTGTTCTGAAGCTCTTTATCTTTCCTTCACCTCTATAAGTCACAGTCCACACAGCAACTTTTCTGGACTTTCTTGTGTCAAAAGTAAACATTCCCCCCTGAGCCACTCACTCAGCCATTTTTATGTCCAAATACGGAGACATTTTTGACCGTTTCTGCATTCACTAGAATGCTAGCATGGACTTCTCGCAGAGTACGTTCTTGATAAGAACACAGGAAGTATGGACTTGGGGGAGAAAAGGTAGAATGCAGAATAGATCTAGGTCAATTGGAACAGAAGCGTATTTGTGACATCACCAAATTCAAAGCTAGTCTGAACCTGCGTTTCACTTCCTGTTATTAATATTCTCTAGATCCCTGGTTTTCAAAGAGGGGGCCGCGGCCCCCCTGGGGGGATGAAGACGCGTGAAGATGGGCTTTATGTAAAACAAGAGTTTCCCACCCTAGCTGAAAGGGCTGTGAAATGTCTCCTTCCTTTTGCAACCACTTACTTGTGTGAGTCTGGCTTTTCCCCTTTAAAAGTACTAAAAAGTAAACACAGATTACCTTTGAATGTGGAGAATGACATGCGTGTTGCTCTGACAGACATCAAGTCCAGACTGGACAAACTGTAGAAGCCATCAGGCCCACTGCTCCCATTAGCATAGCATGTCTATGTATCTCTCATGTAGCCTACATTTGTTGTTAGGCATTCATTATATAAAATGCCTGCATGTTTAATTTGAGACAAACTTTTATTTTGTCCAAAATTAAACATGCAGGCAGAAGAGATTCATCGTTTAAAAAAAAGGTTATTAAAATTAAAGTGGTGGGGCCTATGTTATTGTTATATTTTATTCATTAAATTAATGACTTAAACTTTAATAAAACATAATTGTGACTTCATCTTTACAAAAATAAATGTGTTTTTATTTAGCGGGTTTTGCCACTCATTTTTTAATTCTGTCGCTGTAGCTTACACATGAGTTTTTACGCATGTTTCATATAAGGGGGGGCCTCAGCTGAAAATGTACTAGTGTAGGGGGGCCTTGGCATGGTAAAGTTTGGGAATCCCTGCTCTAGATAACAATAAATCATGACTTTTTTCACGGTCAGATAAGCAATAATCAAATAAAAATTTTGCCAAATAAAATATAAAACTAAACCGTCAGAGCCAGCGGTACTTTACACACGGCTATGCCAAGATGGGACCGCCGCAGAAAAGCCTCGGAGCTTTGCCGGTTGCCACGGTCCTGTTAACAGCTAAACTTTTTTATGTATTGCGCACTAAATCAGTAAATAGGCCATATATTAAAGCTTAAAGGTATAATATTCTCGCCTCAAATTATTATTTTTTTTTAAATTTACTTTTGTAGAACAACAACAGCAAATGGAAATTCTGACTTAATACCCTGAACTCTGGAAGATGCTGCTGCCGGGGTGCATGCTGGGTAAACACGGAGAGGTTCTTGTGATCCTAAAAATTGGAACAGTGCTGGGGATGATGACTTTTCACAAGTACACATTAAGAGAAACGGCCTCTGTGTTTTATACATTATATGGAGCTCGATTTATTAATAACTATCCCAAAATATAAATGCATATACATTATATTTCAAAAAGTATTTAAGCTTAAATGAAACAACACACAGTTTTATATATATTTTTAAAGTAATCAGGCAGAAAAGGCTGGGTGATTACAAATTCCCGCCTATTTTTAAATAACAATGAAAACCATGTTTCCTTCCTTTCATTTTATCCTAGCAGTTGATCCAACATAAGATCTGGGGAAAAAAACTGTCTTTTAGGTGGTTAAAGAGTGAACTTTAGCGATACATGGAATAGTGAAAGTGAAAACCAGGTCAAGTCCTCAGCCATAAACGGCATAAAAGCAAATTTTCTATCTCCATCTATATATTCTAGCTCTAGAATCGTCTGACATTTCTTACACTTTTTTCCACCTGTTCTTTGCCATTCCTTTCCAGGATTTTTATTTGATCCATTGAGCAAAAAGCCAAACCTCTAGATCAAATGTTTCCCTGAAAACGATGTTAAGCTCCAGTTTTCCTTTTCTTCCTGCCCTAGGCGTCAGAGACATAGGGGGGGTTTGGTGCATTTCACCAGCTTGAGGTAATCTTCTCCAAGTTTCAATCGAGTTATTTTTCATATATTCCTTCATGAAAAGTTAAGGTCCTTCACCCTGCTGTGCCTCAGGTGGTGTTAGTATAATATTAATGCGAGGAGGTGGCATAAGTGCTGTGTTGTTGATGACAGATGATGGAGGAGGCAGATGATAGCTGCTGTCTGTAACTTGTTTTCCACTGTCTGTGGCTCTTATTTTACTCTCATCTGGCTTGTTTCTTGTAGCCGTTTTTTTTTTTTCTTTGCTCCATCTCCCGCTCCATAATCCGTGTCTCCTTGTCATCATCCAGCTGCCTGCTTTTCCTCCCAAGCAGGATGTTTGCTTTTCATCTTTTCCTGTCCTGCCGCTTCTGTGTCCGAATTGTTTCTCTGCTCTCAAATGCTACACAGATAGATGATAATATCAGCGGTAATTTCACTCCTATCTGCTGCGATCGGCCACTGACCTCTGCCGAACTGAGCTTGAAAAGTGACCACAGATGTCATTTTTCCCCCCATTTTTTTATACACCGTTTTAAGAACTGCTTCTGCATCTAATCAGACGTCAGCCGACGCATTTGAGACGGCGCCTGGAAGAACGCTGTTCCTTGTGTGGATCCCTAGGAGCGAGTCGGAGGAAATGACTGCAGGCGAGAGAACATCTGGTAACCTTGCTGCCACTGAGACTGTTACCTGAAATCTTGGCAGTAAAACCGATGACTGGATGAACGTACAGATGGTTGGCAATTAAGGCCGACACCAAATTAAAGAGCGGCTTTAGAACTATGGAGAGGTACAGGTCTGTGTGCATTTTGTCATTTTTCTGTCACACTTTATCGAGATTTGCAGGATTGAATTATGTTTTTTGAAATCTTTTTTAATTAGCATACACAAACCTTGAGGTATTCTACCTGCAAGGTAAATATGGCCGCTGATATGAAGCTAATGAGTCCCTATTGTCACAGTAAAGATTTAATAAAGAGAACGGATCTCATCCTTCAGAGAGACTCTGCTTTAAACTGGAGTGCAGATAAGAAAATCTGATATATATAAGTACTAATACAAACAAGAGTACAAAAACACACTTTTTTTTTTGGACATCATTCCCTCAAGCATACACAAAAATCCATCTATACCGAGATATAGAATGTAGCTACGTGTGAGGTTTTATATTTTTATACAGAAAAATACAACCTTCTGTTCAGTACAGAAGAGTTTTACACTCATTATCTAATAAGACAGTAATGCTGTAACTGTTTGCATTGCAGATTTCTAAGCAAGAGACACATTTCCTTCAGAGAAACTTCAACATTGGCCTGTTTGTTTAGTTAAAATCCTTTTTACCCTCTTTTGGCAGTGAGACATCAGAAAGTAATCTTGTTAATTCAGAAAAACAGAACCTATTTATTCATTTTGTAAAAATTATCTCATTAATTCAGAAAAACAGCCCAATTGATTTCTATTATTTAGTTTTTTTTGGTTAATGCAATGTGATTCTATAATTCAAAATAAAAAATAAATAAATCTAAGCTTCTTTTAACAATTCAGAGCGGTCTGATCATGAATTGTCATGGATTACTAGTTTGACAGAAAGATATAATGATGTTGCTCATGTACTTTGCATCAAACACTGTACTAAGGTCTTAAAAAATTCAGAGAAACAACATATTCATAATATCAGCCACCTGGATTGTTGGGTGTTTCACGGCTGGCTTGTTTATTTACCTGAAAATAAGGCATCTAAAAAAACAAGATGATATTCGTATGTAAATCAAAGGTAAGTTACAATTTTGCTGATCTTTATATAAATAGCTAAACCCAACTATAATGTCTGCAGCAAAATCTTCAGATAATATTAAATTGTAATTAATTGCTTAATTTTCTGAGAAAAAAATGCAAAACACATTAGGTCCAGTTGGCCTAAACTAGCTCTCCTGACTTGTTTTGAAACTCGCCTGATACGACATGTAAACTGCACCGACGGCTTCTTGCAGTTGGTGTCCAGTCAGCCCCTTCTGTTCGCTGACAGCCATCTCTGACCATGTTTATTCCCTTTTTAAAAAATAAAGATCCATTTGGCTAAAGTGTAGTACCAAAGTAGCAGGTAAAAAACTACTAAAACACACTTTGACCCCAGATTTCGTTGGGTAAAACAGACTATTTTAAACCATGTTGAATTCGGTCCAGCAATGGTCATTTTTAGAAGGTTAAATAAGTCTTTAAATCAGATTGACCTTTGGTTAAACTTTGTTAAATTCTATTTCCACATTTAAATGAAGATATTAAAAAACAAAGGCTGTGTCCAAATGTCCACCCTAATCACTATATAGGGCTGTAAATATTAGTTACACCATTAAAATTAGTGTCCGAAGGTCTAGTGGATGAAAAAGTACTGCATTTCCCACAATGCACCTTGAAAAGCAGTAATCATCTGTGGTCAATAGACGAGCAGCTATACCCCAGATTGCTTTGCCAGAGCTCTCCTTGCAAAGCATTATGGGATTTGTTGTTAGAGCTGCCACAGCGGCGACAAATAAAGAAAGAGTCACGCGACCAAAGGGGAGCGAAAACTAGTGATCTTCTGTCCGAGTGGTCAATTAACTGAGTTCACTATAAAGTCCACTATATAGCCCCACTCTATATCGTGATTGAGGGATTTAGGGCGGACGTTCGGACACAGCCATTGTGTGTCAGTGGGTGGCTTTCAAACCTGCTGAGAGAAGCGTTGCTGGGTCTGGATCTGGTAGTGCTCTTCCGTCGTTACCCGGGAGATTCCGGCCGTGGTTGCCGATGGCAGCGATTCAACTTCCTGGATGGCTTCCATGGAAATGCTTTGGGGGAGCACCCGGAAGAGTGAAGTCACGTACATGATGATGCTCTTCTTGTCAGGATGCGAGACCGCCACATCTATAAAACAAAGAGCGTGAATAAATACATCAAATATAACAAACACTAACTTGTTGATCTATGGCAGGCATCCCCAAAGTCGGTCCTCGAAGGCCGCTGTCCTGCAGGTTTTAGACGTTTCCCTGCTCCAGCACAGCTGATGTACATTGATAGTTGATTAACAGGCTTTTGCTGAACTGCAATCATCAGAATCAGCTGTGCTAAAGCAGAGAAACCTCTAAAACCTGCAGGACAGCGGCCCTTGAGGATCGACTTTGGGGATGCCTGCTCTATGGCATCATAATGCTGACTGATAGAAACTATCTACGTAAAGCAGAACTAATATACAGTATTATCGGTTTGTGCTGTTTGTACCAGTGGAGCTTCAAAAAAAAGAAAACACCGGCAAAACTTAGCATGTAGGTTGTAAAAACAGTGTACTACAGGCTCATCACTAGTGGAGCCAATGAGAAAACCTTGATAAACTCCTGATTACCTTACAAAATAAGAAGCAAGTCACAAAGTAGGTTCCAATTTTAGGGGCTTGGTCCTTTAAAGTCATCAACAGCAACAAAGGCCAAAAGTGATGAGCTATAAATTGGGACAGCCAAGGGTCATATCATTGTTAATGAAAAACTAACAAAATAAACTAGAATTTTCAAAAACATTCTTTAACAGAAATTAAAAAAGTATTGCTTATCTTAATTAGAGACTAATAAAAATTAAAATAATTTTAAATGTGCTTAGTTTGTGTCATTATCTTACGGCATTAATGAGGCCTAGTTTCTGTTTGCTGTTTGCACTTTTTTTCGCTGTACTACATTATGTATTTTTTTTCTTTTTACATATCCTCGGTATGCGAGATGCATTACATTTAAAAAAGAAATAAAAACTAAACCGTTTCAATCTAAAACAAAATAGAAAATCGGAAGTCTAAAAAAAGTCATTTAGATAAAGATGGGGGTTTTAATTCTCATTACTAATAGAAAATATGTAAAATAAAATCAGGTTTTGATTATTTTCAAAAAGCTGAAGAAAAACATTGCAAATGCGTATCATGTTCAAATAAAGTTAGATGTTTAAGGAATTAAATTTGTTTGAGAAATTCAGACCATTTAATCCGGACAGAACTCTGGTTATCCAGCTAATCTAAAACATCTTTTATGATTCTTCCTCTTAAAGAATCATAGGCTGTGTCCGAATGTCCGCCATAATCACTATATAGTGGTTATGGCTAGGGGTGCACCGATTGCAGTTTTCCGGCCGATTTCCGATCACCGATCTTTAAAAAGTCTGACCTGCCGATTCCGATTTTTGGTTGATACCGATTTTATTATTTTTTTTGCTATAACCAACACTGTGTTACAAGATGGCAATTCACTTTCAATGTTACAATCTTTTCTTGAAAAACATGCCCTTGAACAATAGCCTTGAACCATTATAAACTTGTTTTAACTGCCCATGAGGTAGAGCCTTGACATAGAAATGAATTAAATAATGAATATTAAATAAAACAAACTTAAGAGTACAACATCGGTCTTTTGATTTTTTACATTTCAAAAAACAAAACTTCAACAAAAGATCAGAAAAAATATGGAATAGAAACTAATTTTAAGACACTCGCGGAGGTAAATAGATTGGTGGTTAAGATCGGTTTCATATGTAAATATCGGCCGATCACCAATCACCCTAAGGAAATCGGGGCTGATCGATTGGCCAGCCGATTTATCGGTGCACCCCTAGTTATGGCATTTTAAGTGAGTGTCCGAAAGTCTAGTGGATGAAAAAGTAGTGGACTAAAAATGTCCCACAATGCACCTTGAAAAGTAGAGATCATCCATGGTTACTAGACGAGCAGATATATCCAGGAATGCTTTGCGAGGATAGCTCTCCTATTCTAATTAAAAAATGTCTTATTAGATAAATATACATTCATAATTTAGGAATATTACATATTTTTGATTTAATTTAAGCTAAAATTACTTTTTTTTTTTTATCAAATCTGAATTAGAACAGAAAAACATCTGAAAAATTCAGCTTTTTTTTATATAAAAAAAAGTAAAAATTAGCAGATAAAAACTGGGATCCTATGTAAAAACCACTGAAGCTATCACCTTATTGGTTTTAAATAATTAGTAAAACAGAATTTGTAAAGAAAACAAATGAAATAGATCTAAAGGACCCATCAGTAACCATGTCTGTTCCTCTGCATATCATCATTAGAATTTCTTTTAAAATGATGTCTTCAGTACAGGGATCATAACAGGGGCCAGGACATGATCTACGGGGCCCCCCTTTGGCCCCTTGTCTAGAACCGCCCATGGATGAAAAACAAAGTTTTTTCTTGGTCAAATCACAAGCAAAAAGACCTTGAAGAAAAAAAATAAATAAATTGAAAAGATGAAACTTCAAAAGAATGCAAACCCACCACTAAGTGATCTAACAGGCTGCATAAATCAGGCTGTCCTTCAGCTGCTACAGTCACTTTCCTCCTATTTTTCTCATGAATCACTGCAGGCCATTGTTTAGGCTGCTTATTATCTTCCACAGCATTGAGTATGTGTCAGTCAGACTCCTTGCACTGAACCTTACAGCTGAATTAAGTCTGAGGAGTGATTTTTTTTAAACAGAAGGCTCCAGGTATAAAGGAACAGCTTTGTTTTGTTTTCTGATTTAAGAAAGGATGCGAAGAGCCTGTGGACATGCTAGTCTACCAGGTGCAAAAGTAAAAGAGACAGATCGCAGCATATCACCCAAATGAACATGTAATGAGATGGAGATGCCAAGGAAAACAAGACGGATGAAAACACTGGGGCTGAGGAGAAAGGGGAAACGGTTTGTGTTATTCTCTTTATCCCAGCCTGACAGTTTTGATTAACAGAGCAAATCGATCCGGGAGACTGTCAAGAATTGATGGCACAGACGTCCCGGTGTGTTCTTTTCTCTCCTCCTAGTGTCCAAATCAAAACAGCCTCAGCGTTCGGGGAGGTCTCTTTTTACTCTTTACCTCTCAGGCAGTTTGATCCTCACAACTTAAAGTCTGACGCATCAGACTCCAAACGGGCCAATTACAGCCACCAGCTGCAGGGCGAGCTTCGTTTCTATTCTTCTCTACAGTAACTGATGATGGCTGTGGATTTGTCCACCGCCTCTGTGGTGGCTACCTTCGGGGTCCAGCAGTCTCTCTATGCCCAGGTGCTGTTCTGCCTTGCTAAAGGCGTGTTCCAGTCTGTCGATCGCAGACGTCTTCTTCTCCACCGCGCTCCAATCAAACAGCTCCGGCCTGGAGAAAAGCGAGAGAAAACATTCCCGGGTTTGATTTTTGGTACATTTACTCCAGCTAAATAAAAATGAGTAGCGAAGATATAATTGTGTAATTATTCAAATAATTGAGCTCAATGTTTTAGAAAAGTTTTTTAATTCCAGCTTTAGCTGATTGACACCTTAGATATCTGGGTGCTTCTCTCCGACAAGGTTCCCATTTATGGAAAAAAAAAGGGCCCACAGCATCATAGATCTTTAAGTTTTAACAAGCTTTAGGTCAGAACCACCTGACCCAAACACAGAGTTCCAGTTCCAGAGATTTAAGCCTTTTTAATGAATCAGATCATGCCACAGCAACGAGATTCTCATTTTAAGGGTTTTAGTGCTTCTAATACCAAAGATCTGTGGTTCTAAAGTGGGGGTCACATAATAGTTTTCACCATCATTGTAATGTCATGTAAATGTCCCATAAAATAAATATATAAATACAATGCATTCAATTATGTAATGCATGATTTGGACTTTAGATAAAATATACAGAATGTAAAATTAAATGATTAATTGTCATAATAAAAAAAGTTAAATAAATGTAAAATAATAAATTGAAAAGGTAATGCTTTTAAAATGCATTAATTTATATAATTGATGACTTAAATGTTAGCTATAAGAAGAAATTAAAAAATTTAATGTCCCGAAAAAAACTTTAAATATAAAAAAATTTGATCTATTTATTTATTTGACATGCAAGTTAAATACTTGATATACAAAGAAATTGTAAAATACAAAGTTAAAAACTTAACTATACATTTAAAATCATCAGTGTTTAAATAAATGTATGTTTTTGTTAGAAATTTCAAAGTTTGAAATATACCAAATAAAAAAAAAATAGATTTCAAATCAAAAATTAAATCCAATCCAATCCAATTACTTGTTTATAGCTTTCATGATTCAAATATTAGATTCACCAATAAATTAAAACATGGAAAACCAAGGTTTAAATAGTTTTGCAATCTTCAGTTTATTTATTTTATGGTGTTTTGATCTAAGCATTTGGATTCTATGTCAGTTTTAATTCCTTTTTTGTATTTGTTATCTAGTTTAGTTTAGCTTTTTCCTTTTTTAAATGCTTAGTTTCAGTTTAGCTTTATTTAGGTACAGTTACAGTTTCAGTTTTTTGTAATATGACTTACATACCGGCAGCAAGACTAAAATATATAAATACATTAAATAAATACATTTCCAGAGCAGGACTGACAGCTAAAGCAATACCAATGACCTGACCACAGTACTGCCATCTGCTGGCGTAATGCTACCGACATCTATCTTTAGGAAGTAGGTTTTTAGATGACCTTCAGGCCTAAATAGCAGTTACTGAACAGTCTAACACAAAGATGAGGTTGAATAGTTCAGAATGATACAGTTACGTCTTTCACTTTATACACAGAAGCACTTCCTGTCTTGAAACATCTTTATTTCAGTGTGAAATTTTGTTTTTAATTCACATATTTGTGGGGAGTAACAGCTTACGGACGACGTTAGAAAGAAACGGCTCCTACATAGGGCCTATAGTTTTGGGCTTTTCTAACAGAGTAAGGAAGTATGGCTCACTCTGCTCCAACCCAATGATTTCCAACGTTGGGTTCTTGACCCAATTTGGGTCCTTGATGAACTAATATGGGGTCTTAAAATTCTCCAGATTAAACCCAAAAAAAAAAAAAAATGCATTTCAAAGAGGTTAAATATATAAAAGCATCACATAAAAATGGACAAACCAACTACTTTGGTTGTTGATGCTGTTTTTACCATCATTACAGATGTGGTTTGTTGATTTTGTATAAACGTTTGTATGTTAAGCCAATAGTTTTGGTTCAACTGGAAACGTTTTGATGGTTAGCAGCTGAAAAGTTGGGGAACTTCTGCTCCAGCCCTAAGGTGTCGCTAGTGCTGGGTTTCCAAGATTAAAATAATACTTTAGGATCTCTTTAAAAACACTGAAAAGTGGCCAGAAAGTAGAACTGGAATCCCATGTATATTCAAAAATTATCTCACCTCCTTAAGTGCAAAACACACATTGCGATAAAGATTCTACCCATTACTGTTTTTAGTTTTATATTTGTTCTATTTGCTTTTTTATGGTGAAATTCCGTTTTTAAATATGCTACTGAAACAAAATTGACATTTTCGCTGATAGTAAAGAAAACAGTTTGCATTTTGATTTACTATTGATTATTCAGTAATTTTGCAAACCGCTTTAATATATCACCTTTATACAACCCTACTAGATTAATTAGAGAGCAAAGCTTTTTGACACCACGATGAAGGGGATGAACAAAAGGACCCTATATTATGAATTCATAAATAGTCTAAATTGGAGATCATATTAAATAAATGATGTATAATTACATCATGTAAAAATGTATATATTAAAGGTCACTATTTAACTTGAGTTTCAATAAAGAGCCTAGAAAATATTTTGTTTCTGATATAATAATCTAGATTTAAACAAAAAGGTTTCGAGATGTATGGAAAACAATTTTCAACTAAAATCCTAATTTATTATCATTAACTTTAAAGTAAACTAAGCCTTTACATGTCTCCTTCAGTGGCTCTTTTACATTTTTTTTCAACTCCAACATTCAATTTTTTCTCCAACATCTTTGTTCCTCTCCAGCTTCTGAACACAAACACGTCTTTCTACTGTACCTGTGGCTGTGGATGAGGGCGTTGAAGGCCAATCCATCATTCCAACTACTGGAGAAGTTAACCACATTCACCTGAGGACAGAGACAATATAAAAACTAAAGAGCCAGAGTGTGAATGCAGCAAAACAACCTGCAGAGTAAACTGTGTCCCTGAAGCACAGCGACTCATTCAATTGAAGACAGAGAGCTTTAAAGCGGTGAACAGAAAATAATACAAAGGTTTAAAATACTCTGAAAAGCAAAGAGCAGGATGTCAAAGAGATGTTCATTATGCTCAGTCTATTACAACAACTGCTTGTGTGGTGAAAACATCCTATAAAGCCACTTTTTCCACTGTGGGGATTTTCAGCCCTTACCAGAGCTCCTGAAAGATGTTTTTTTTTCCGCTTAATTTTAAGTAATTTCACTTTTCAGAAGTGAAAAGATTAAAATTGTGGATTCTGTATTACCCCGGGACTGTCAAAGCCCTTTATTATTATTTTTTTAAAAAGCACAATGCGAGAGATTATTGTTCAAAACATCAGACGTTGATGTATTACTCTTTCTGCAAATCAAAAAGTATTATAATGTTTTTAGAAATATTAGCTCTGTTAAACAGAAATATCCATTCTCTTATAAGGAAACTGCTCAAGTACTTCATTCTTGATGATGACTGATGACTGCAGCAGTGTTGTCACATGTCTGCGTAATCTTGGGTCAGACAGCTGCAGCTGATCTAGAACGCTGCTGCCTGGATCCTCACTAAAACTAATGTTCAGACTGCACACTATTGAAGCAGCTAGTTTACATGCAAAGTCAATAGTTGATGCGCATCGAGGCGCATCAAAAGGTCTTGCAGCGCGTCTCGAGCAGCAAGGGCAGCGCATCTTGACGCATCGAAGCAGCTGCAGTAGTGCCTCATGAGCATCTTACGCAAGTGATGCGCATCACAAGCAGCAGCTGCTGGATTTGGAGAAATGTAACTTTTGCTGCTCGACGCGCCACATCAACCAATCAGAGAAGCTGATCTGGGAGCTGGCAGGGAGACAGACACAGCACTGCTGATGCAGATAGCTATGATCACTCCCATGAAACTGTTTATTAACGCCTAAATTAAGTTAAAATGTCCAAACCTGCTGACAAAGTATGTTTATTTTTATTATCCTGGTGCCTGCAGTTTGGATTACGTACATGAAAACGGCTAAAAACTCCTTCCAGCCGCCACGAACAGTAACAGAAACCCCCCTAGAGGGGACTCGGCCAGAGACTGCCATTGAAGGGGATTTCCAGTGACAGCAGTGAACTGACTGCATAGATGAAGATTTTGGGTGGACTTTCTTACTTAAAAACATATTAAAGCTATTTTTACTCACTTATAACAGCAAATATAGAAAAACTGCTCTTTGCTATTGAACGCAGGAGCTGCAGAAGATCAGACGCACTAAGAGAAACTTTACTGGATGCTGATTACTGGATCAAAATGCTCCTGAAGCGCAGACCTTAATGTGTAAAAGCATAAAAAATGAAGCAGCAGAAGCTTTTTTTCTGTTTCTATCGTGTGCAGTCTGAACATTGCATAAGAAAGGACATCACCTCAGTTTAATCAAGATTGAGAACTTGTTTAGAGTGAGCTCTGGTTTTCGTTATCTAAGCATTGGATAAGTTTTTAGTCCAATTTTCTTTCATTTTATTACAAGTATCTTTATATCTCATGTTTTTAAATGATTTAATTACCTTTATCCATATGCAAAGTACTTTCCTCTCTGTTTTGACCAGTTTTTTCATATAAAGGGCTATACATTTTCCGTGTAAATTCTCATTCATCCGGGTCATAGCGAACACAAACAGGCTTAAATAGGAAGGCAACAGGACGTTCCATCATTTTTTAAATACTTTTTGGTACCTATCCATTGGTCTTTGTCAGTTCTGTGGGCTCGCACCAGAGCAAACTAGTTGGAGCGGCGATTTACATAAGCAGCATGAAGCATCTCACATTCCACATGAGATGCTAATCAATTAGCCGCCTCTTGTTCTCCTGGACTGTTGGAGTCTTTTGCTTTGTGATTGGTCTCTTGAATCATAATGGGAGATCTCATGTAATTTAGTTCCATGACTAAATTGTAATTGCTTAAAAGCTGAAACCGCAATCCTCCACCTCTGTTCAGTCATAGCTTCTCTTTTAACCAAGATGGTTTCCTTAGTCCCTTTTTGAGGACAGATTGTTTGAAATATATTAATAAACTTGCCCCTGTGTTCCTGTTCTAATACAGCAATAGTCATTTAGCAACAATTTTTTGTGATTTTTCAAACCATCTTGGACTTTTCCCATTTCTTCCAAGTGTTGCTCACTGCAGGACCAGTTAATGTTGGGTAGCGCTGAATCCGCTAGAGTTCCATTAATCCAGTCCATGGTCAGTCTATTGCACTGGTAGGGCTACGGATAATAATAGCTTAGATGCTGATAGTAACAGTGTTTCCAAACTGCTGCTCTTAAACCCATTTCAATTACTTTCGGGGTTTAAGCACCGTTTAGAGAAGTAGTCTTCAATGTTTTCCAGGCCAAGGACCCCTAAACTGATGGAGAGATGGAGCGGGGACCCTCTGATTTTATATATATATATATATATATATATATATATATATATATATAGTATGAAATTGTGTTATAAACTGGTCCTATAGTCACTGTATTACAGATGAAGTAATGAAACGAAAGTAATTTCTTCCTGGGATTATTAAAGTATTTCTGATTCTGATTCCTTGTTGATGGGACAGGTGTTGTGAAGGAAACGGTGCCCAGCTTGAAGGAGCTCCTGTGTGTCGCTGAATGTGTGCATTGATGACTGAAAGACATCTTCTGCCTCCATTTATCTGTTTACTGCAGTGTGTTGAATTCATGTTAATGTGGATTAAAAGACATTTAAATTACTTGAAAAAAATGCAGCAGGGAATATAGAAAAAACAAGCAAAACTTTCACAACCTCCATGCAGTACCTCCATGGACCCCTTGTTGAAGACCTCCAGTTTAGAGAATTAACTTACATTATATTCCTTAACATGTTTTCAACCAAAAACTGTGAACTGGGACCATAGATTAACAGCACATCTCAAAACATTTACCATCACATTATCCATTTGTCACATGAGTGATGTTAGCCAATAACAAATAACTGATAGCGAGGATTTAAAGGCACATAACACACCAGGAGCAACACACATCTCGCTCACATGCAACATAACTTTAGCCGGCTGCTGTGCTGAATTGACGACTGTTTTGATGAGGTCTGTAAGAAGTGAATATCTATGAACTGGGAGGCTACAAATGAATTGCATACAAGGACCAATAAAGCTGTCTCACTTTGGCTGGATGTGGATTGATGCTGCTTAAGAAGCAGCAGAGAAGAAGCACTCAGATTGCTGCAGTCAGACATTATTATACAGTCAAAGTGGTGGTTTGATCTCAATTACATGGGTTTAAAAGGTAGAAAAGAGGAAGACCTAGCGTTCAATGCACATACTTCATCAAAGCTTTATTATTTGTATCTTAATGATTGAGGTTTAGAGACAAACATTGTCCAATCTGTCCCCTGAGCTTTAAAAAAAAAAAGAAAATAGAGGAATGTCAAACCATAAATTAAAACTACAGCTGAAGAGGGCTTTCAGTGGAACTTTGTAAAAACGGTTATGACAAAATGTGCAAAACTTCAACTCATCTATTATTCTAAAAAAAAAAAAAGGTTCAATCTAAATAATGTCAAATTTTAGATTTTAAAAGTTGCATTCCTAGTTATTAACTTATTATGTGACAGAAAAAAACTGTAAATTAAAGATATTTTAGCCCTGAATTAACTTTTATTTATTCTTAAAGAGTCATTAAGAACTTCATTGCTAAACAATAAATATTCAAGGTAAGGAAATTCTGCATAAAGTAATTTTTTTTCACCATAAATAATGAAAAGTAAATACCTGAGGATATTGCCGTGTGTTCTGACGAACCCAACTCAGCAGAATCTTCTCACTGTTGGTCTGCTGTAGGCCCGCCATCACATCCTTCATCACATCCTTTACCTGAACACACAGAACAAGCAGCGCACAATTAGAATCACAGGCTGAGGTAAATTCCTACGAAAACCCAAAGAAAAACAATTGTTGACACAATTGTGTACACAGAGAGACTTCTAACACCAAAGCCTGGAATGGAGACCTGAATCTAGAGGAGTTAGTAGGAGGGTTGAAGCTTTAGAATATCGGAAACATCCTTTCTATCATGTCATTATCTATAAGAAATGCATGATCAGTTCATATTTGATCAAAAGAAACCAACTTTGAACCTTATTTTCTCATCCATGTCGGGCAAAGAGCAAACTTTACCCTCCATCAAAGTCAGAATCGATATTTCTACAAGCTGAGCTAAGCTTGCACGCCTACAAACACTGCTGTCCAAGAGCCACAGTCATTTCTTTGCAGGAGGTTCTCCACATTCTGTTGATAGTGGTTCTATTTATGAGCCAAATCAAAGCAATTCAGTAGACATTAAAATTTCTGATCCTTCGCCAGCAGGAGCTGTTGTTCGTGCGCCATGTTTTCCCGCACTGATCTCGCCGCATAGATTAAGTTTTTCCTTGGTCTGGAGTGCAAGTTCGAGGTTCTGGAGTGCAAGTTCGGTCCGAATGGGCGCCCAAAAGGACGTAATTTGGCTCTGCAAACGTGTCAAACACAAACCAAGCTTTAATCATTTAAACTGTTGTCACAGCTTAATTAGGCGGTTAATCAAAAGCATGTTAATGGCAATTCAAACAGAAAGTGGAGGTTGGAGATAGTGACCCATCAGGATTGGTCCTTTAATCAGGATGGACAAGGTAAAGCACGTTTAGATAAAGACATGAAAGAAGATATAATAAAGCAGCATTTCACCTAAACTGCTCTTTTTATTTGCTTATATAGCGATTTGGTTAATAACAGAATTCTTAAAGAAGCAAATTGTGCCTAATCTCACTGTCACTTAAATAACTACCAAAAACTGGATGTGATTGGGTCTGCAGGACGGTTAAAATATTCCCAAACTCATTTCTCTACAAAGCAGCACCCGCTCAGCTAAAGGACACTTCTATAGGCATAAATCTGTGCTGCAGGCTGTGTTCTCTATGGGAGCATTTCTGGCAGGTGTGAGTGACAGTTTTGGAGCACTCGTTTGAACTCGAGTAGAAACAAAGAATTATGCTTTTCTCTTTAGCTAAAACATGTGAATTCAACCATAAATGCACAGGAGGATCTCTTCCAGTATGTATTTCCCCATACTACCTTTTCTGTTTTCATTCATTATGATCTGTGGATTGTCAGGATAAATAAAAAAAATCATTTTTTTCTGAATGTTAAAATAGAAGAGAATGTTTTATATTGGGTTTTTCAGAATTAGTTATGTTGCCTGAATGTTTCCTGTTTCTTAGGTTTCAAGTAAGCTGATGAAAATCTCCCACTGTGGGAATATAACATTCTAAATATATAAAAAAAAACAAAAAGTTAGAAACACAAAAACAGGTAAAGAGCAGACAAACAAAAGCAAACTAAACCAGAAAAAGCCAACATTGAAAAATAATAAAAGGTAACATTTTCCATAGTTCTGGTGGAAGGAGAAAACTCAGTCACTGCTATGCTCTCATTCATGGGCCCACTTAAAAGTTGGACTAGAGCCATTAAAAGTTTATTTCGTCCAGTATTAATTTTATAGCGCTAATCTAAATGATTTGTAATAAAATCTCACAATGATGACATGGCCAGAACAGTTTGGATGGGTCAGCTGGAAAAAGCTGGACTTCACCACTTATTTATTCTGAGCTTTCAAGTCAAAATCAGTGCCCAGTTATGCCAAAGGCCAAATTAAACAATTAATCCATGTTAAATTGACATCAAACATATCAAAGGACCTAAAACTGAACCTTGTCGAATTTGCAATAAGTCTTATGGTGCATTTACACACATGAAACCTGACAACAATTTTCCAATTTAGGTGGATTTGGCTCGTCTGACATTTCACCAGAAATTGGCCTAGCTTCTAAAATGAATTTGCATTGCAGGTGAAAGGCATCAACACACCATCAAGTCTTCTGGTTGTGGGTTTCACCTCCACATGGTGCACAGGGATTTTACGGAGTGAGTTACCAGTACTGTATTTACTTTGGAGAGCACAGCAAAGCCACCAGCATCCTCGGTACAGAGAAGTTTGGGACGTCCAGGAGCTATGGCTTGATGATGGCCGCTTTTCAGCAAACTAGAGGTACAGTGAAACAGCGTCCTGGGGCTCAGACAGGAGCAGGGAAATAAGAGCAAAAACTCCGGTAAAGAGAGCGCCAGAACTGGGACGATGGGGCCAGCCTTACCCCACTCTGTGGCTAATAAACCAAAGCGGTAGGCAAGCAGATCATCAGAGACAACGCAGCAGCTGGCTAAGCTCTGCACTGGAGGTAAGGGAGGACTAAAGTCCCTCTGGGGAAAAATTAAAACGGATTTTTTTAAAAAGCCACTCGTAGACCTCTTTAGAATATCCCCCACTTTATCATTTGAAAACAATATTTTCTTCATCTTCCATTTTGATTTTAAAAAAGTCTGTTGTCTCCTTCACAGTAGTACACAGCCACCATCTACTCCCTGATTTGTTTTTGCGATGCAAATGTAAAAAAAACAGGTAGGCGAAGCAAACTTCATTAAAGAATTTGGCAGTGGTGCGCTCACTTTGCTGAATTAGCCAAAAACATACCACTGGCCTCACTAGAGTCACGACCTTAGCCTCACTCCGCTTCCCTCAGCACAACATGTAAATCGTTCGCTCCGACAAAATTTTTATTTGGTCTCAGCATACCTTCACATGTAACCCCATTTGAATTCCCGTGGTTTGACCTACAGAATTTAAAAATATTCAACTCGTTTAACCCCCACCCACCCCACCCCACCCCACACACATATACACACACTATCGATAAGACATTTCGTAAAATACAGTAATACTAAATAAAGAGATAATAGACGATACAAAGCCTTTTTAATGAGAAACTAATGCTGAACACAAAATCATATACTAAAATTACACGTTTTGGTTCAAGCTTATTAGTGGAAATGCATTCATGAAAAAAGTTTAATTTCAAAATATATGGAGAAATATAGTGTGCAACAAAATGAATGAATGTTAAAACCATACGAACCGGTTTAATATAATTTGTCTGGAGGTAAATTGTTGGTAAAATGATCCATAATTTATTCTACATTCAGACAGAGAGATACAGGATTCTTTGTTAGCTCAAAGAATGTGACTGGTCAAATAAAAAGGGACTCATTAGGTAGTGGGTCACTGCATGCATTTCTGCTATAATTAGAGAGGAGTTTGACAGAGACTGCTGGATACAAAAAAAAAAAGCCACAGTCACAGTGGTAGGATGCTTAAAAGATTCAGTGACGTGTGGTTTAGGTAATTCAGTCAATGTATAAATGCAGACTTTAATGTCCATCTAAGTCTAGGTTAACAAAAGCAATACCTTGACAACAGGTTTTTGCACTGATATCCTTAATGAATACAGAGAATGGAAGCTCAGAGACCCTGATATAAGGACAAGCAAAGGAGTTGATCAGTAAACAGCTTCCTACCAGACATACCAAACAATTCATATAAGTAGATATTGACAAAGAGCCAAAGCTATATGTGTAGAAGATGGCATGTACTAGAAGAGACCAAAAGCATAAATAAGATTATTGACCAAACTTTGTGTACTGAGCCATAAACAGGATGGAGGGGAAAATAAAGATGAGAACAGGCCCACCCAGGGCTGATCGCCATCCATACAGGAAAAGAAACCTGTCAATAAGGAAATCAATCAACTCCTAGACATTCGACTTTCTACAAAAAAGGAAGCAGGAATTATCTCAGTACCAGACATCCAAGATTATCAATGCATTGTCTTTATTAAAATAAAGGTTTTAATTTAGCTAGGCAACTTAACTAGGCAGTTACCTATGGCCCCAAGGGCACTATAAAACTCCTCATACATGTGTTAATACAGTTATGGGTTATTTTTTTTACACATTATTTATAGTTTTGTTTAAAATTATTTTTGCTAAAGTGCCAACATAAGTGTGTCTTCAGTCTCCATTGCATTGGATCAGTCTATCTTACTACAAATGTGCAAAAATCGATACAGGAAGACACCAGCGAAACATGAGAGCAGTGGGTAATCCAAGAAGTAATAAAAGAGGAAAGAAAAAGAAGGTAAAAATAAGTGCTGGACAGAGAAGTATCCTATGATACTTCCACCTTTTGGCAAAACACAAAACTGCAGCACTCTTCTGCTCGTTCTCGTAGCTTGTGCCCTTATTTAACATGAGTTTTGTTTTAGAATTTTTCACCTTACCCAGAGTTGCCATTGGTGTCCAAGTGGAAATGGGTGCCGGTAGCTTCTCCCACAAAAACTACATTGAATGTAACGCTTCGATCATTTACTCTGTCGGACTTATTTAACATGGACATGCTTGACGTCAGCAGTGCAGGAAGTTGTGACCCAAAGTAAATTAGGGAAAATAGCCTCCAGGCTTATAGCTATATCAGTGCTTAACTACCGAGGCTTCAGTCTGCATATCAAATTGTGTTTTAGTCTTCAAGAGTCAAACAAAAAGGCGATTATCAAGTTATTTTTCTGTCATGATCTTGGCGCTGATGACTGGCTGGAATACTCATTTCATTCACCTGCCCAACTCCGCCCAGTTTCTCGTTACTGTCATCTGATCCACCTGCTCCTGCTTCTATTTTTAGTAAAAATGTCAAGTTCTGAGCCTTGACATTTACCAAAAGTGACTAGGTTCTTTACTGAGGGAGCGGCTAGCAACAGCAGCGATGATAGGAGGGGTCGATCAACTACTGAGTTTCAAAAATGTCAGAGAGAAGATTTTGTCCCTGAATATTGAGAAGATTGTTTTCCTCATTGAAGACAGGAAAGCTTATGGTTCGTTTTCAAGTAAGCTTTGAATTTGAATGGTAGGATTTACTGAGACCTAGACTTTCAAAAACAAGTCAAGCGAATAAATGAAAAAAATACAAAGACAGAGAAAGATTAAAGGAAGAGTAAAAGAAGAAAGAAAAAGACCAAAGGTAAAGCAAATAATACATATGTAGTCTGTTAAAAATGTCTGTATCTGTATAACTGACCTGTTGTCTTGTGTGGTCTGTCCTCTCTCTCTAAATGGCCCCATGCCTGCCTTCACCTTGTGCCCCAAATTTCTAAAATATGCTACTGTCCAATTGTTCTTTACCCATTTAAATCAATGATTCAGAGTGGGGTTTGAGGTAGAGACCTGGTTATGCAGCCCACAGCATGTATTTTTTCTCCATCATTACCCTGTATTTAAGCTTTACTTTACTATTTTTTGGTCCATACCATGAATTGTTAATAAATCACATACAGTGGGGGAAATAAGTATTTGACCCCTTGCTGATTTTGCAGGTTTGCCATCTTACAAAGAATGCAACAATCTACAATTTTAATCATATGTACATTCTAACAGTGAGAGACGGAATCCCAAACAAAATTCCAGAAATTCACATCATATGAATTTATAAAAATTGATAACCATCTGATGAGGAAAAACAAGTATTTGAACCCCTACCAAACAGCAAGTATTCTGCCTCCTACAAGCCAGTTAGTCTTTCTTTAAGACACAGCCCCAATCCCAACCAATTATCTACATCAAATACACCTGCCTCACCTCGTTACCTGTATAAAAGACACCTGTCAACATCCAAACAACCAGCATCCAACATCACCACCATGGGCAAGACCAAATAGCTTTCTACGGACATCAGGGACAAGATTGTTGATCTGCACAAGGCTGGGATGGGCTACAAGAGAATCGGAAAGCAACTTGGAGAGAAAAGATCAACTGTTGGTGCAGTTATCAGGAAATGGAAGAAGCACCACACCACCGCCAACCTCCCTCAGTCTGGGCCTCCACACAAGATCTCGCCTTGTGGGGTGTCCCTGATCATGCGAATGGTGAGGAATCATCCCAAAACCACAAGGGGGGAACTGATGAATCAATTGAATGCAGCTGGGACCACAGTTACAAAAGAAACGGTTGGTAACACACTGCGCCGTCATGGATTGAAATCCTGCAGCACACGCAAGGTTCCCCTGCTCAAGAAGAAACATGTACAGGCCCACATGTAGTTCGCCATTCACAACCTGGACGACTCAGAAGAGGCCTGGAAGAAGGTGATGTGGTCAGATGAGACCAAAATAGAACTTTTTGGCCTAAACTCGTCATGGTGGTGGCAACATCATGCTTTGGGGGTGCTTTTCAGCCAAGGGGACGGGACAACTCCATTGTATTGAGGGGAGGATGGACGGGGCCATGTAGGCTATCGTGGAATTCTGGACCAACATCTCCTTCCCTCATTGAGAGAGCTGAAGATGGGTCGAGGATGGGTGTTTCAGCATGACAATGACCCTAAGCACACCGCCAAAGCAACAAAAGAGTGGCTGAAGAGGAAGCACATCAAGGTTCTGGAGTGGCCTAGCCAGTCTCCAGACCTGAATCCAATTGAAAATCTTTGGAGGGAGCTTAAAATTCGAGTTGCCAGGCGACAACCTCTGAACCTGAATGATTTGGAGGCTGTCTGCAGGGAGGTTTGTGCACATCCCTGCCGAAATGTGCACAAACCTTGTCACCAACTATAAAAACCGTTTGACATCTGTGCTGGCCAAAAATGGCTTTTCTACAAAATATTAACATGCTGTTTGTCCAGGGGGTCATATACTTTTTTTTCCTCATCAGATGGTTATCAATTTTAACAAATTCATATGATGTGATTTTCTGGAATTTTCTTTGGGATTCTATCTTTGACTGTTAGAATGTCCATATGATTAAAAGTATAGATCGTTGCATGTTTTGTAAGTGGGCAAACCTGCAAAATCAGCAAAGGGTCAAATACTTATTTCCCCCACTGTACAATGTGCTAAAACCGGAAAAAGGTAAATGGATATAAACACTTCTCCAAGAAGAGTAAAAACAACGAACCAAGAACTTCTCTGCATGCCTAAAAACAATATTAAGATTCATAGTGGCACCATAATGCTGAGCTAAGGCGACAGGAAAAGCAATAATAGCAAAGCCTCATAATGATGTGATAAAAGCAGTCCAGTGAAATCATAGTGATGGAAGATGATTATAACTACCGGTGATGATCAAGTGGCTCCTAAAGAGCCAGCTAAATGATAAGAATAAAGTCCAAGTCACCATTGCATGTGCCCTGCAGTTCATCAGATAAACCCAGTGGTATAATAGCCTGGCCTTAAAAGCAGGCAGAGGCGACTGATAATTCAGATTGGTGCTGTACACCAAGCATAAGGAGAGAGGCAAAGGATTCGTAAGCATCAGAGCCCCAATCCACGATAAAACAGAGAAGATCCAAGAGAACGGCCCCTGGAGATGAAGCGTCAAGTGCATGCCTCAGGCAAGACGAATACATTGTGGAAAAGCAAAGAAGAAAAATACTAAAATGAAACAAATTGTGAAAAAAAGAGAAAAATAAGAACACACGAAAATGTCCCCAACAGAGCGGGGTGACGAATGGATGACGTCTCAGGAGAATAAAAGACAGCCTAGGCTGGAAACCCCTCAATCAAAACAGAAGTCTGACATTTTTTCCACGTATAAAGATAAAAAAAAACTTTTAAATTAATACTAAAAAGTAAATTCTAAAAACCGTAGGTTTAACCGTTCCATAAACCTTATCAGACTTCCCAAAACATCTTCCTCACTTGATTCATGCGTCTTAAATCTTCATCTTTGTGAAGGTTATAGGTTCACAACGGTTAGGTTCCTTTTACTGTAAAGCACCTTTATTCACCATAGACACTTACAGCCCATAAGGGAACAAAAACAGATTATTCCGATTATACTGAATGCTACCTCAGCTGCAAACTAGAGTACACTTCTTTTTATCCAATTTCAATGCTCTTCACAAAATACTGCAATTGATGAGAATGTAGAAATCAGATGAAGTAATGATAATGAGGAGGATGACATGGAGGAGAAGAAGCTGGTTTTTGCCCAGCTGCTGCTAAAGATGCTAACCCAGATGGAAAGCTATGCTAGAGAGAGCTCCAATTTCTAACAAACTGTTAGATATATATTACAACAATGCAATAAAACGACTGAAACATGCTTCACTGTCACTTTAAACAGTCGTTAATTATTTAATTGGCCATTTGATTTTGATTTCAAGTTAGCTTCTGCTAATGGTGATCAGGCTAGCTAATATAGTTAACACTGTCACTTTAAACAGTCGTTAATTATTTAATTGGCTATTTGATTTTGATTTCAAGTTAACTATATTAGCTAGCCTGATCACCATTAGCAGAAGCTAACACTAGATAATAGCCCTATTTACATTTCCCTTTTGAAACTACCCCAAGACCCGAGCACGGTCCTGCCCATTTGAATGTGAATGTCACACGCTTTACTATAAAACTAATCGCTCTCAATCCCTAGACATTGATTTTGCAAAAATGTAAAGGAATCGATCCAAAATAGATTAAATCGATTTTTAGCCAGCCCTATTATCGATTTCCATTACTCAACAATGTAATAATACATATTTCCTAAAGTCCTTTACTTGCATTTACTTACTGTCCATCCAGGTTACTTGGGGATCATGAAAACTTCAGCGAAGGCTGACTTCACTGAAGTAAAAAAAAATAAAAAATAAATTCTGTAATATAATTAATAACTGAGCATCCAAACCTTTGTGAGAATGTAGCTTTAGATTTCCGTCTGGACAGAAGCATATACTTTGACCTTTTGACCTCTGCAGAGCCTATTACAGGGGTAATTTGCCTGGAACACATCTAAACATGGAAGAGGACTACTGAGGTTAAAACTAAACACATTAATACCGTATGTGTTCATAATTACTTACATACTTACAGAATAGCAGTATACTGCTCTGGTATTTCTGAAATAATCTGCCAGATGAACAAACTTGAGCGTATTCACCGAGATCTATGTCACATTCAGTTTCTATTAAACACAACCATAGAAGAATTTTTAAAATCTTTTACAGAGTTTTCTATTAATCCATTTTTTTCATCTTGTATGAAGTTTTGTGTTTCGATGGATGATGGGCCAGTACACGTCATTGTTGCTTTATTTTGTCTTTTTATGTTTAAAATGGTATATTATATTTCTGTATTTCTCATCAGTAATTGTTATTGTAGGGATTATTATTATATTATCGTATGTAAAAGACTAAGAACCTGGATAATTAAGCAAATTACAGTTATAATCATTCAATTAATAATTATCAATTGGTTTTTACCTCAATTTTGAATGAACGATTAATTAGCAATTACTTCCAGTTATAGGTATTTAATATTTTCATAATCTTCTGTTAACATTTCACAACAAAGGCAAAGAGTTCCCAAAGTACATCAGATAGGGACGCAATCTGTTTAGCCTAATGTGAAACAAAAAGGAGCAACTCTGATGACTGAGCTACTTGATTTTTCCCCAGTAAATATCAAAGCCATCTATTGGGTAAGAAGGAATAGAAAGAAATAAAATCCCTTGGAGCAAAATGTTGACTAAAAACGATGCACATAAACACACACACACACGCATCCAAAAACACACCTGCCAGTGGAGAATAATGCTCCAGATGAGCCCGAGAATCAGTTTGTGATTGCCATCCACAATGTCTGCCGCTCCGATATTCACCAAATCAACCTGCAGAGGGAAAGTAGAGAAACAACAATCTCATGGCTGCCTTTTTTTACCGCAACTACAAGCACTACAGTATTTACCTTTACTAATCTAATGCAATAAAAGAAAGAGGGGGAGGGGCATAAGGTTTAAGCATTAAAGTAGGTTCATTATTTTACTATTTTGGTACCTTTACTCTGAATAATGCTTCAGTTTTTACCTTCACAAAAACAAAACTAACAAAAACAAACAAACAGTGCCTGGTTTAATAACAGGAAAGTGATCAATAGCTGCTGGTAATGTAGGATATTGGTTACTTAGGTTATAAATAATGATGCAAGTTTTTAATTAATGAGTCAATAATTGATCGATGTTATCCGTTGACTAACAAAAAATTGATAAGTAGACATTTCTTTCTAAAACTTCAGTTTTCTTTTGCATCAAGTGGATCTTTTCATTAACATAAAGAGTTAAATATGTTAGATATGCTCAATTGTAGAAAGGTTGTAGATCATTAAGTTTTAATAATTTATTGTGGCAGCTAAAATAAATACTGACTGAACAAATATTTTTTTTAGATTATTGACCTTAGTTATACTGTAAATTACAAGGTTACTGAGTAGAAAATGTATTAATTAATATGTAAATTAAATTAATTAATAAAATATGTAAAACAAATATAATTTTCAATATAAATGGATTTAAAACTAGCATTATTATCTGTGGTTGTCGCTCCAACATACTGTTAGACCATTTGCCAATTTATTTTGAATGAAGTGGATGCTAAATGTGAGTACCTATGTTTATTGTGATCCAACATTCAGTGCTGAGAGAGATTTTGTATTTCTAGCAGCACCTTTAAAAAGGTGATTAAATGGACACTATTAAGTGTTTGTATATAAAAAACTGAACCACAAACGTGTAAAAACAGTGTAAATAAAGCTGCAGCGGACTTCAGATCATTTTATGGTTCTGCTCTAGCATTGCTTTACTTCTCTTGCAAACACTCTCTATGCCATCTGCTGGATGGTGGTTACATTAGAACCATTAAAAGCCGACATTATCTATTAATCAAATGCAACAAATTGTTATCTAAATAAAAAAACTTAAATATTTATTGTAATTCGGGTTTCTTTTACATCCCTAGATGTAACTTTTTTTGCCAGAAACCTATTAAAAATGGGTTTACTACTAAAATAAATCAAGAATAGCTCTGCAATTATCAGCTTTAAATGCAAGCCTTTGGTACCAGTGTAAAGGTAGAAGGAAAAAAAAATTACTCTTCAAGTTTAAGTGTATTAGAGCTTTTGCTGTATCCAATTAACCTGTGATTTAACAAGGGCAAATATATATATATATATATATATATATTTTTAGCGTCACATTATAAATAAACATAAAAAACCCAACAAAAGTTATTTTCAAAGTGTAAGAAACACTTGAGATTCTATTTATTTACATCTTTACTAGAATTGTAGGAAGTTTGGACTGAGACAGCTGAACTATAGTTGATCCCCTAAGGTTTTAGAGAACAATCTGTGCCTGGCAGTGCTGTCAGTTTGGGCACAATTACGTGCATTTCAGCTCATAAAAGGGAATCTGGTTATATAAAACGGATGATTTCTATCAAAGGAAACCTTCTGCATGTGACAAAGCCTTTAGTCACATTACTGTTGCTAAATAAATATCTTCTTTTCTTTAAAACGCCTGTCAGGACATTCAGAAATGTTTGTAACAACAGCCTACATGCCTAGATGCCTAGATGCCTGATTTTATAAACCTTTAGCCATGGAAATGATTGGGACACCTTCCAATAGTGTGATTGGATAAGCAAATATTTTTAGTAATAAAGTGTATTTACAGTAGGCTGACATTTTAAACTAGTCGTGGATCCCTTAAAGCCTTTTTAAGTTCCTTATATACAATTTGTATACCAAAACAAGGTAAGAATATTCATTGATATGTTCAGCTGGTGAGTCGACTGTCTAGTGGCTAATGTAGGGAAAATCAATACAGTATAATAAGTCTGAATAACAGTGTTTAGTGTGTGTGTGTGTGTGTGTGTGTGTGTGTACTCACATTGTTCTTCTGCAAGATCTGCAGAGCCCGGTTGACATTGTTAAGTGAGTGAACACGGGTGGTCCCTTTCTCCAGTCTCACCTGCACACACAGGAAGGAGGTAAAGGATGTTAGTGAGGATAAACCAGGCTCTGCATCCTTAAGTGCAACCGTAAGCACCAACAAAAACCAAAATATAAAGGGTATGTTTGCATGTGTGTGATAGAAAATCAGATTTTTTTTCACTTGCATGTCTTATATAAATTCATGTTGGTGGCGGCAACCACCATTAGTCCTTTATGGTAACTTCTAATGAGTCTCAGTTTGTTTAAGGTAGACTTTAAATGCATAAACTTCATTCTGTTTCCTGAAACCTTTGTAGGTGGGATTCCTGGTATGATTTAGTTTATCACCCAGCTTTTTAACCTAAATTGGTTGATGCCAAACTCATACACTGTAAAAACAGCCTAGAAATAAGTAAAGGTGTCTTAAATTAAGTGTATTTACCCTTAATTTGAGTAGGTAAGTAAGAGGATTTGCCAATGGAATGAGTATTTTTACTCTTAAAATAAGATAATTAGATAAAATGCACTTGAAATAAGACAATGGAATAGTTTTTTTCTTATTATAAATGTAAATGGTCTTGTTCCATTGGCAAAGTGTCGCTCTAACCTCCTCAATCCAATAAAAAATGCACTTATTTTAGGAAAAAATTACTTATTAAGATTTAAAAATTTTCAGTGTACCCTGCTGTTTTCAGGACTGACAGCTGGACAGCAGAATCGTGGCACCATTGAAAAAAAGGTTACATGAAAGCTTAAGAAACAGGAGCTTGCAAGTGGAGTCAGGGCTGAAATTTTGTGTTTTTCGAAATGAGCGTTCATGAACGTTGGGACGAGTTGCTGATCAACTCCGAGTCATTTTGGTAGACGAGTCGAAGAACAGTAGGTGTAGGCAGGCCAATCTAGCAGGGGAGAATTCAGTCGGGACAAACATTTCACCTAAACCCCTCTGGTGCTCTACTTTCTCTTATCCAAAATAGTCAGTTATTCTGAGCTGTTTTCTATATTTATGCTTCTATATACATGTATGTAGGCTGCTGGATGACATAGGCACCACTTTGCCTCATTATGCTCCACTCTAATTATATTCTCCTATTCTTCCGTATTAAATAACTTAATGTTTTGTCTACTTTTTCCTCTCACAGTAGCTTCATCTGGTCTGTTGCGGTTTGGCTGCGACTCCATTCTGGATTGAAGTATCAGCTCAACATCTCATTTTATAGATGTTGGAGCTTTTGCCTGTTTTTCATTGTTGTGTTGTTTCCTTCACTGTGACTAACTGTATCCACTCTGTTTGTGTCTCAAACGGTCAATGCAATCAGCTGGTTTTCCTTAGACAGAAAACGTTGAATCAATTTGACTGCATGATCTAGTTGAACCCTGAGATGACATGTTATGAATTGGTGCTATATAAATAAAATGGATTGATTTGAATAGGGAGTGAATTTTGCTCCATCATTGTTACAGGCTAAGAATGCATGTAAAGAAATGACACTTCTTACTTAAAAAAACAAAGGTTTTGAGATATAAACTTTCAAAAATGCATTTGAAAAAGAAAATAATAAAAGAAAATGTGAGTAAAGTTATACTGTACAGTTTTTTGATTAAACATTTTTCCAAGTTTCCTTTCTGGATTGAATTATTTTTACAACTAAATCACAAAACATTTTTTTTTTTTTTTTTTTTTTTTTTTTGCTTGTAACAATAACTGAACAAAATTCACCTCATAAGATTAACTTAACATTAAATAGACAGTATTAAATCTAAAACATATTTGTCTCAGTAAAGTGTGAAAGCTACAAGATCTGGGGTACTAAAATGTGTACATAGTTTTGCATAAATGGACAGCCTGTCTCAGTTTTAAAGGTTTTCTGATGGAAAATCAGAAATTGCTCTTGTTTATGGCATTTTTGTGCTGCCCATGATGGACTGGCGACCTGTCCAGGGTGTACCCTGCCTCTCGCCGAAAGACAGCTGGAGATAGGCACCAGCACCCCTCATGACCCCGCTTGGGATAAGCATGAAGGAAAATGGAATCATGGATGGTTGGGGCTTTTTTGGTGCTGTTAGTTCAGAAAACAACTCAAAATTCGGCATTTATCCGACGTCTCAGTCATAAGTCTGCTTGCAGCCTGACAGCTGTGAGGAGCACTACAGGACGGTACAGTACCCAGATGTGCTGCTCTGAAGTATGCCCCTGCCTGCTCCATTGTGGTAAAATAGTGGTGTGTGTGTGTGTGTGTGTGTGTCCTTACTAGCTCATGCCCTATGAGCCCCTCCAGCAGCTCCAGAAGGCGTCGTCCATCACACAGATCTGAGAACAGATCCTCCACAGGTGGTTTCCCTGTCTGAAACACAAAGGGAAATAAACTTTAACACAGAGTGAACAAAGAGGGAGAAAAGCAAACTTTATGACTATTCTTCACGGTCCACATTCTCATAACCAGAAAAAAAAGGAGAAATGTGTTTTGTAAATTTCTTAGCAATAGTAAATCAGAACCATTGACATCAAAATGACTAACAGCGATGCTGAGAAAAACTCCTGCAGAGATGCTGCAGTGAATTTATCGTTTTGCAGGAAGGGCAGTGGTTCAGTCTCCAAAGTGGCAGCTCTGCTCTTCTCCAGCAAAAAAAAAAAACAACAACAGCCTGCTCTGGAGAATAGGGACACATCTCTGGAGTAAAAACAACGCAGTCTGCCGTTAAATGTGAAGATAACAATTTCATACCCAGGGGGGTTGTTCTTTATCAGTGTTGACAAGTCTGGGCTTACAAACTGGGAGTTGATTCACACTAGAACCTGCTGCAGGCTGAATACAGTATGAGTTTCCTCTTCTAGCTTTCACTGAAATAATACAACCTAAAAAAAAATGAATCAGCAGACAAAACGGGAATCTTTTATTTATGTTCATTCACATGTATTGCAAGAATACATTTCCCTGAGAAGTAGAAAAGAAAAGGCAAAACTAAAAATAACATTGTTTGAGTTAAGCTGTATATGTGCGCTTGATATAATTTAATCTATATGGGAGTAAAGAGCATAAAGGAAAGGTTATCTTTAATGTAATGTCACTGATTCTCACACTTGATGGTGGAATAGTTGATCAATTAGAAAGATTTTTCAAATGCTTTGCAATGGCCGCTCCTTGCAAATAAAAGTGAGCTGCATTGAGCTTACAGCTGTGGTTAGGCTTAGAAATCAAGCTGAGGTGATGCAGTGGCTGTTGCTAGGTAAACGCCAACAGCTTACAGTGAGGAGGAGTAGGATGAGAAAGACAAATACTACTGTAAAGCCCTAGAAGTGTGCTGACAGCTAACACCTCAGGTAACCTTTCACACATTCATTGTAATAAAGTATTTCCTCACCGAAATAATTATTTTTTTTTTTATTCATAGGAACTGATTTATATCCATTAGATGCCAGAATATCTTCTTGGACGTTTCTTCTACGAAGTCAAAAGTTGACAGGCAAAATAACAGTTGTGTTTTTTAATGACTTTTTGTTGATGGCAAATGCTGGAAACGAATCCTAAATTGGTATTGGCTGAAATGCCAATTCACACTAGGGGTGTGCAAAATAATTGTCATGACGATGCATCGCGATTCTAATTTTTGAGATCTGCTGCATCGATTCTTGATGCAAAGTATCGATTCTTAATTCACAAAAAGGAATAAATAAAATACATGAATGGTTTGGCACATATCAGCCAAAAACAAGTGGAATACAACTTTTAGTCCAGTAGATGTCGCTGCGGATACTGCAACGTGTCATTTATAAACAAAACATGGAGACTGAGAAAATTTGCCCAGCTCCATCACATTCCAAGTCTGATGTTTGGAGGCATTTTGGCTTTAAAATCAAAGAAGGTAAAAATCAAATTAATATTACACAAGTAATTTGCAAAAGGGGAAATGTCAAACATTTGAATCTTTTAATTCCATTGGTTTAAAGGACCACTAAAACAGCACTGTTATTTTAAGTTTTACAAATCCTAAGCACTTTTTGTCAGCGTTTCCACTCCAGTAATAGTAATATTTGTGTCCAGTATTTGTTTTCATGGCAATCCTTCGATAGTCATTTCAATAAGTAAAGCTAATTATGAATTCAGTTGCTTTCAGTTATGTATCAATTGAAGACACTATCCAGATCATACACAGCCAGTCAGCCACTGGTAATTGCTGTATTTTTTCCCCTTACAGTGTTCAGTGAAAATATCGCAATGCATTGCAATATTTCAAGTATCGCGATGCATCGTGATAGAATCGCATCGTGGCATGTGAATTGTGATTCTGATCGAATTGTGAGTTCTTTGGCAATACCCACCCCTAATTCCCACCAATCACGTTTTCTGTAACAAAATCTCCAAGTTCAGGGCGTGCTTTGGTGGTGCAGTGGTTTGCGCACACATCCCATGTACAGAGGCCTTATTCCTCGACGTGGTCCTTTGCCACAAGTCTCTCCCCCTCTCTCGTACCCCCTTTCCTGTCAGCCTACTGTCCCCCAAAAAAAAAACAAAAAAAACACACAAAAAAAAAAAAAAAACGTACCACTAGTGGCGCACAAAAAAAATATATATATAAAAAATCATCTCTATGTTCTAGTTAAGAGAGAACCACCACCTTATCTAGAGGCTGTGGTTATCGGTTGCTTTCGGCATTAGAAGTGCCTGGCCAAGACCTGACTTTGGGGAAGGCCCACCTGGACAACAGAGGACTCTTGAAGCCCAGACAAGACCGGCAGAAGATTAAAGCAACAATCCCAGCAAAATGTGCCTTAAAACGCAGCAGAGGCAGGTAGCCATCTCCAGGTCAGGAGTTAAGGGAGATAACGAGATATCGAAGGAGGACAGCGGTAGATCAGAATAGTCTGCTAGGCCGAGAGAGCTCTAGAAACCTGTCAATAGCATGTTTTATGTCACATCACTCCTGTTGCACACCTGTATATTAGAAAAAAAATATTAAACTGGAGGCAAGAAAATAACTAATTGTTAACAGACCTATATAAGCACTCTTTAATTTGCCTATGTTGGGTGCCCATTAAAGGAATAGTGGAGGGTTTTCATGACTTTTTGAAAAGACCCGCCCACTCTGTGCCCTGTACCTGCTCTGAGAGGGAACGCCTATTAAACGCATGTGAGAGCTTGAGCCTATTTCTCCTTGTGCACACACTGTTTACAAGTTGTTGCTTGCATCGCTCATACAAGCTTACTTTCCAAAAGAAGATTTGTAAGTTTTCCACTATGTCAGACTCACAACCGGTAAGTGAAAATGGGGACGAGCACGCAGGACGGTCTTACGTAAACATATCACCAGAATGATTGACAGGAGGACCACTTATTTTGATGATCCACCCAGAAAAAGAACATCCCCCACTATACCTTTAATATAAGCTTTCAGAGCACAAGCAAAGTATATGTTAATAGGCACACATGCATGTGCTGATGTCTGTTCTGTTGAGCTACTGAGGGCAAGAAGTGTCTGAAAGAGGAAGAGACAGATTCCAAACTACAGATGGAAAAACGAAAGAAACCCAGATAAATCAAAACAAACAGGTGACCTTTTTGTCACAGTTAATGCTACAATGTTCTACTTTGGTATTTTCACCTACAGCCATCTCTCTTTGTATCTCTGTATAATATAAATTGGTAAGAGCTTCACTGTTAAGGTGTGATTTGACAATAAGGGGGAGACCATCATGAGCATATGAAACAAATACAGAAAAGAGGCTGAATAAGAGGCTGATCTGGAGCTAAAACTGTAGAGTGCTACTATACCAAATGATGATCCAAATATTAAAAATAAACTAATACAGAAATGCGAGCATAACTTGTTGATAAAAAAGAGCTTGGCTTTGAGTTTCAAAGTTTCATTCTTTAAACAAAAGATTCAAAGGTGTTTCAGGCTAGTTTTATGTTGCATTTAGGCCGGAATCAGTCAGGCTAATCTGCCAATCCCGAAGAACAATCCAACAAACTCCAATGGCAGGAACACTTTTTGCTGTTAGCTGCACTTCTAAACTGGTGGTTATGGTTGCTCCCAAAGGTCCGTTCAAAATAAGCTCCACAAAATGCTTTAAGACCAACATAATCGGCCCCACTTATTGGTGACACGTCTTTCTGTAGCTTGTAACTAACTGTTCCAGTAATGCCCTGTACGTCTATCATCAAATCCTAGCCTGAGACGTTGATGCTTACAAACAGAACCACAAAGTGCATTCTACATTTTAGTCACTAATAAATAATCTAATAATCCTGCTTACAGTACTGAGTTGTGCCATCCACAAGTTGGCGGCCATACCACAACACTGAATGAAGGTTGGTCATTAGTTAATCAGATAAAACAGATTTTAATCTACAAAACCATTACTATTCAGTTCATTTAAATTACCTTATTTGTTTCTACACCTTTAAGAATGCAGGAGGAGCTGGGATAGGAGCTAAGGGGTTAAACTTCCAAAAACCGTTTCTGTCCTTATTATAGATTTTACAGACTGTAGCCCAAATAACCCCAAAAAAAGTTTCTCCAGAAAAAAAGCGCTATAAAACTACTTTTACTAAAATCATTACAAAAATAGACTTCATCGGTTAATTATTTTGATGACAAAACATCTAATCTATTTTTTTCCAAGGTAGTGATAATACAGCAGATAATAGACATAAACACAACTTCATTAATGAGGCGCTTTAACATTTCAACCCAGGCACAACAAAGTGCTGAATAGAGACATAAAAAAAAAATCAATACATAAACAAAAGCAAAATACACACAGAGGAGACTATAAAAATAACAGCTAATGTCTCACATTGTGTTCAAGGTCTTGATGTTTTAGCAGAGTTTAAGGAATGTGTAAAGCCTCCCAGCTTTTTTATACTTTATTCCTCAGATCACATAGGGGAAATATATTTTACTAAATATTTAGGATAAAGCCTGGGATGGCCTATCCCTCATGTCAATGCAGCCACCATCCATTGATCAATTATAATGAGTTAGGAAACTACACTCACCGGCCACTTTATTAGGTACCTCATGCTAGTAACGGGTTGGACCCCCT